GCAATTACACAAAAAACTGCATATTGCATCAGTTCTTAATTATTACAAGATAATAGTTATTCATTTGTCATATCTATTGCATACACGACAGTATTATAATTCTGAAGCCAACTCCAACATGATTCTCGTTAATTCACTCGTCTTATTTTTTTTGCTACGCAACTCCTGCGTATAAAATTTGGTGGCAGGGGCCCTGTCCCGCGGCAGTGATATTTTGAGATTTGTTCGTTTCCCTTGTCTCCGCGATCCCGTTTCCGAGAAAACTGGCCGGTTAATGAGACGGCCGCGGACAGTTATAAATGAACGATAAGGCGCACGCCGGATTCCTTTAATAGCCGGGTGCAAATTTATGGCCGAGCTCCTCCAGGGAGGACGTTCCGTTCGCTAAGGGGTTATAGATTGATCGGTCGTGAAATCGGCTTTAATCAATCGTGTGTACCCACTGAATTATACGTACGCCCGGCGGAGTTAATTAATTCCAACACGTCGTATCTCGGCCGCGCCGCTTCCTCCCGGTTGCGTCCGACGCCGCGCCGCCGCCGCGTTCCGGCATTAATCTGCCCTTTCGTTACATTAATTTGGGCCCCGGCCGCGTGATAACGCTCTCGCCTCTTGACCGGCAGTATTTCAATCGGGCAAGATCGAAGAAAGCATGAAAGAGAAAATAGTATTATATACAGAAATTGGGATTCTGTAATCCGGGAAAACCAATTTTTTTTTCACAGTAATAATTAAATGTCCAGTTATCTTCATCAAATTATAATACAAATCGTTTTATAATTATATTCGTCAATTGGTTTTCTAATATTTTTAATATTAAAATGAAATAACATATAAAGAAAGCGTATTAATTATACACAGATATTCGCTTATCAGAAATGACTAAAAGTCTCTCAGGTCTGTTCAGCTTCGTTTTAATCGACTGTCTGACGTATTCCTAACGCTTGTGTACCTACTCGCCGCGTCCGCAAATTCCAACCAGTCCCATGGAATTCTAGCATCGCGTACGCGTTCCAAGAAACCATGAAATCCTTTCACGCTTGCACGGTCTTAATTATCGGCCTGATTAATAGTCACCCTCGCGTTTAATTAATCGGTCGTCGCTTTCGCGAGTCTGCTCTCTCGCATGTTTTCTCCTCTTTGCTCGCGCTACAGATTCCATCGCTTGTTTCCTGTTTCCCTGAGAAGCCGTTAATTGCACGGTTGTGTAAATAAGTTCCACACGTTGATAAAATTGTTTGTCATATCATTGAATTACGTAATGAATCAAATCTATTTTATGCGATGTATCATAAGATGCGAACAACTAATTAGAGAGAAACGTTGAACAAGTATTGTAGTACAGAGAAATGTTCCAACTGCGAGTCGCGGAGCAACGGCAGCTTGTGCCATGAAAAAAGGATCACGGCACGTAGGAAACAGGCGAGACGTAATGTCAGGTCTTTTTTTCGCGGCACGCGTGAACACGAAATCGTTTAATTCGAAGTGGCTGGCAGGAGATGGAGGGAGAACCCGTGAAATGGACGTTCCGGTTTATCAGCGAGGCGCGTATGGCGCGCGGCTCGTTTCCATTAACTCGCGTTGCGAAACTCGTGCCATCGCGTCGTTCCTCGGAATGTCCCGGTGGTTAAAACGGCGAGGGGGCAAGCGAAAACGGACCGAGCTAATTTGTTAACATTGTCGCCGGGGATGTAACCGCCACGGCGCGGAATATCGATTCCGAACCGGGTCAAGAAGTACGATAAATTACGCTCAATTACGCTCGCAGACGGGCCTGATAATAATGTTGTATCCGGCGCGACGCTGCGCTGCTCAGCGATCGCAACGGATCGATCTTACCGTACCAACGCACGAGACCTGAAGTCTAAAAATTCTTATAAAATTGTTATTTTAAACGAGTCATTATATAACCACAAATAAACAGTGTTTCCAAATTCGTTTTAAATCATTATTATTTCCTGCGATCAAATTCTTTTTAAATTACCACTTTTACGTCAATACTTAATATGAGATATCAAATGGATTTCAGGAAACCGAAGTGGGTCGCCAATTTCATTGAGACATTAATGTAATTGTGCAGAGTCGTATTTATATCGCAATGCAGTTAATTGCAAGATTATTTGGGAATGCAGAAGACATTTTAATCGCGTAACGACCGGATAGTGACAAATGAACAATTCCCGGAACCATTGGTGACAGCAGGAAGCGAGGATAAGTCGAAGCCTCGGGCCTCGCTCTTTTTTTCGACGCACCAGTGCATTAAGGGAATTCCAATGTTATTAAGGTTTTTACAAAGAAAAACGATTTTTAATACGGACCGGGCGAAACTGTAGCGGTTCGAACGAGTTTAATGACCACGCTCGTTTAAAGTCAATCGAGGCCACGATGAAAGATACAGCGGCGCGGCGGGTTGTGTCATTTTAATTGAGCTCCATTTTTAATATCAATACTTGTCGAGCATAGAAATCTGCGGTTTTTATATGTCAAAAAAAGTAATGAATTTGCAATTGACATTCCTGCAGAGATTCTTTTTATCATCACAGCTGAATCTAAAATATAAAACTTCAAACGAACTTCGTATTTAAAAAAAAATTAATAAGAGCAACTCCTTCAATAACAAAATTGAATTCGTCAATTCGGTATCTTAAATATCATGTCGCAAAATTGCAGATCCTGAAGCAAGTTTTTCGAGGCTCATCAGTATCGCGGCAAATAATTACTTTTAATTTAACCCGGGAATAATAATATCCCAGTGTAGACGGTGATGGAGAGCGCGCGTTCAATCGAATCGGGCGAGCGGAAATATTCATTTCGCGCTCGCGAAATCATTTATCGTGGAACGGCCGTTAGACGCGGAAGAAATTTGCCGCAAAGGAAACAGATGCTCGGCGCCCCGTCGCATCTCATACGTGTACACAGTTACTACTAGGAACGCGCGCGCTGGTATCCTTTCGATATTTTCCTCTCTGTACGCGTTTCGCCGCGAGAGCTTCGAGGCTTCCACGATCGCACTCATGCGTGAATACGGAATCGCTTCATTTAAGACGCGTTGCCGCATAGAGAGAGAAAGATAGAGGGAGAACGTTGCAGGAACGCTAAGGGTGTTTCCATCCGCCGCTGGATACTGTCAGAACGCGCGTGTTCCTCTCTGGGTTAATTGAAAAGAATGATCGCGGCTCGCCGCTTAATGATCGGTCTCCTTCGCGCGCTGATAGCGATAACTTTTATTATCCGGTACTTGTTCCTTTTTTTATTGTACATACACCCAATGTCCGATGCCGAGGAAGTTGGAAGGTGAATGAAGTTTATCGAGCCGGCTGCCTGTACACTTCGTGATCAATCGATCGTGACAGGTTAAAATGTAGATGTAATTTCCCAAATTAAGTTTGACAGCTTGACGCATGTACATGTATTTCTCCGGTTTTTTTTAATCACAGGGAACAGGTTGCGCGAGCAATATTTGTTACGCGCTACGATTCTGGATGCGGAATAATAGCGATGGTATGCACGTGTTAGAAATTAATATGTCTCGCTCCAGCAGGCAAATCAGAAACTTTTTATTGCGAATGATTTTACGTAGGTTCTCAATTATAAAATACCTGATTTACGTTTCGATATTTACATGAATTGTATAAAGTAATAAATAGACGACTTTTAACAAAATTGTTTATCTCAATTTGTACACCTACTACTTAAAGTGTCAGTATTGTACAGAATTATCGGAAAAATTGAGAATGCAATTTGCGAGCCAGCCTCTACTAGGGAAACGCAGCAAAGATTAATAGCAGGACTGTATCAAAGTGTTTCCATGAATCCTGTTAAGCAACGCCGAACGCGATACACGTACTTAAGAGAGTAATTACAAAACTTTCAATTGCCTATTTACATCAGGGCCAAGGAATCCCGCTAAGTGTGTCCGGATTTTTGCCGATACTTATCGAGTCAATTTGTACACCGATAAGTGGACTAACAAGTTTGCCGCGCGCTACACGCCTCTATACCGATATACCTATTTCTCGGCAAATAAAATCCTTCACTGTCTGGAATCTCTTTGCATCGCCAAAACCTTATCCTCGCTTTTGCATCACCTAGAGCTCATCACGACGCATCAATTCCGCATCATCATCGATCACATTCCACCACGATTTCGCGCTAGGAAGAAAGAATCACAGAAGAGGAAGTCTTCTTAGACTGTAGAAAAAATAGACGAGCCGAATAATGTTGCAAAAGAAATTTCATCTAACTGTGAAACTCGTCCAACTTGTACATCCAATATAGAATTACATAGCCTATTTATGTCATCGTGAAAAATAGTGCTAACATTTTTTCAATTTATGAATCTCGATTTTATCGAAATCTTCCAAAATTTGTTGCTGGTCCTAATTTCTTAAGAACTCAGATACGCGAAAAAGAGAGGCGAGGCGCGTTCCGGTTTATCAGCGAGCGCGGCATGCCGCGGCGTGTTTCCATTAATTCGCGTCGCGGGTCGAACTCGTGCCGTTGGAATGCCCGTGCCACGCCGTCGAGGCTCGAAGTCGTTAGGTACTCGAGCCCGAGCCCGAGCTGCGTGCCGTTCCAGAGAGGCAACCGGTTCTACCATCGGTGATTCGTCGTTAATTCGCCGATGGAGAGTAAGTAATCGCACGCGTACCAACGACCACCTCGGCTCTGTTACACGGTTACGTTTCGCGCCGCGCCTACCTCGGGGTTGTTCCGATTTTCCTCGCCGATAAGCGAGCCGCTCGTCGCCCAAGCATTCCATTGCCCCTTTTTCGGTGGATCGCCGCGTTCTTACCAATTCGAAACGCTCTATCTTTCGGTTCTTTGATAATCAACAAACTGTGATAGTAAAATAACCTAATTCTCATTTTCGTTTCCTATTATAAGACATTTTATCTGTCCTTATCAATTAAACGAACTTGGCTGTTAGGTGATTTTTTAAATATTTGTATTTTAATTATGTGAAATTTTGATAAATAATCTGAAATAAATGCACTCACCAAATAGGTTCGCCAGCATAGAAGTAAAGGTTCCTTCTGTAACAAAAAGGAAATAATATATTCTACAAGGGAGCAATACTCAGTTTTATTATCATGATTTATATAATGCTTTTTATTAGGGGTTACAAATATCATCCTATAAAGAAAGAGAACGCGACGCCGACGCCAGGCGTCGGAGTTGGAAAGGGGTGATTATTAGCGGGTAAGTATCGCCAGTGCCAGTCCAGTTTTTACTCCCCCGGCTGGACAGCCCTCTTCAGCTTCTATCGCGCCGCAACCAGCACCCCCGCCACTTTTGCTGTGGCTCAACTAAACCCCAACGGATCAATACGCTAAAACATTGCCACGTCGCGTCAGGTCGGGACGCCGGCGTGTAAAACCCCAAAGAAATAACAACGGTTACCTTCGACCTCGCCACCCGTTTTTCACCCCGCTGTTAAAGAATTCTCACCAGCGTTCAACTTTCGATGTTTCATCGAATAAATTAATAAAGTAAATACAGGTTCGATGATAAATCATTGAAACATATACAAGTATGAAACTTGGTCAAGTCATGAAAACAGGTACATATTAAATAATAATTGTATAAATTAAAACAAACATTCAAAAAAGAAGATAAGCCTGATTATCAGTAAAAGATGTGTACCGCCACAATTTTACTCTTCGCCGTGAGCCTAATTAAACGCGTTGCTCACGATCAACAAACAGTCGACCCTCAGGAAACACCGGAATTCGATATCTTTGTTTGCTGCCGATAGATCGGGCAGAGCGAAGGCGGGTTTTCAGGGCAGAGCAAACGTAAGGTTGGTAGCCGGGTGTTGAAGGGCACGAAAGACGGATGAACGGACGTCCGTGGCCTACCGCAACCCACGTTAAGACACCGACCCGCTTCCCTACCTAGGCTCCACGCACACGCACGTGCATGCACGTCGGCTCACGTGCACCTCCTACAGTCCCTGACCGTCAAATCACTCACAGCGGTCTCTACTTCACCATTAGAATTGAAATGTCTTCTATAGTCTCTATCGAAAATGATTAAATAAATAAAATTCTTTTTGAACTCGTTTGTACTTTACTTGTTTATTATAATGGTTCGAGAGGATGTCTGGTTCCTACGAAAAATGTACGAAAGCTGAAGCAGATCCAAAAGTATGAATAGAAAGTTTGACAGCTGTTTATAGTAAAAGAAAAATGACCCTGGACCTTGGCCATTAGAAGTGAATAGCTAGAGGCCTATCGGCTCACTGGGATTGGGTTAAGGCAATTGTGCTAAGGACAGTGAACCTCAATGTGACATCCATTCTTGTAATTTCAAGTTTCAAATAATCCATCATTCAATAGCAAACTCATTACAGTGTACTCTACTATGTACATCTACTATTGCGTACAATGTTAATCAAAGCTAAATTATATCTCACGCATTAATGCGACTCGATAAAATTAAGATTAATAATTATTGTTATCACTTACACATTTATCTGGTTATTTATTAATTTTTTATTCAATAACAATTTGTTTGGACAACGAGATTAGGTAAACCTTTCACTTATGACATGTGTCTAATGTGTTATCATTTTTGCGTGTGTGGTCCTAACTCGATGGTCAGGGACTGTACGCGGTCGATATATCGATTTTCGACGAACGACCGACTCTGGTCGACGACCACGAGTAACCATACAGGGAGAGGGAGAGTGAACAGGAACAAGGCTGATGGCCGTGTGCGTCTGACTTGTGGTCACTTGTTGCCTTCCACCCCCCGGGGGTTGGCCTTGCCCCTCTGTGTTTGGGGAACGCTTGTCGCTGCCCCAACGACAAAACCATCCTCGGAAAAGAGATCTCTTTTCTATCTCTCACTGTCAGCCCGATCATGGAACCTATAGCACGTTTTGACCTCTGATCCATCTATCGTACTTAATAAATTTCAATATGTATGTTAACGGGCGTTAATAGTATAAGTTTATTTCTAATGAAACATTTACATTATTATTAACCCCTTGATATACAAATTAAATGGAACTTTACATACAAATTAAATGGAATAAATGACGAGTCAAACTCGTCATTGTATGTCAAGGGGTTAAGATTGATAAGGGCTATCGTTACAAAGACGTGTGATCTAATTATTCGCTCGCTCGCGACTTCTCATTATGACTATTTTTTTTCGTTTGCCTTCGTTTACTATCGGTTATTGTTCTACCTGTATATCATGCCGAATTTTCGACTGCACACACGTGTGCGCGATACTTACGATTGTAACCTATATAATGTGCTAAATTAAATGCTGAATATTATATGGCAATTTTACGATTTTACAATTTAAATTATACATTTTATATGTATATAATCTGTAAAAGTATCTTTCGCTGACACTTAATATCATTAAGTTATGACTGCTTTCTCGAAGTCGATCCATTCACAGGGAATGAACTCCATGAACGCCGTTGTCAGATAAACGTTAAAAAAATTACGCGCGTTTATCTTATCGCGCGTGTGCAACGTTCTGCTCCGCTACCTTTCGAATGCCGCTCGGCGGATAAAAATCGCTCGCCACGGAAAAACACATGCGGAGGATAAGAAAAAAGAGGAGAAACCGCGTGCAGTAATTTCGAGTCGTTGCACGGTAAGAGGGGTCTTTCATTACTCAATAATTTCGCATTATTTAATAGTTCTTCGATCGTCGACGACCGTGTCCTTCCAACCGTCTCGAAATTCCGGAGATTATCCTTATCACCGAGGATGGTAAGATATGGTAAACAGTCGATAATGGCACCCTTACCGTCGTATTACCTGGCCATCGAACAGCCACGAAAACAAACACAGATGCGATTCAATTTTTGTTATCTCCTTAGTCGATTTCCTGGCCATCCGAGGATCGTTCAAAATCACCTGGCACTCTTCGAGTAAAAACCAAACGTGTAAACAAATTTCAATAATTTCAAAAATCAACGAAACGGATGTAAATGCAGTAATTCAAGTAATAAATTAATTATAAAATAATATGATAGTTGTGATAGGTATCTTTCCATTCAATATTGGTACTATACATTTTTTCATTGATTTATTAATTTGATTAAAAAGTTACAAGATACCTCAGATGCACGTAAAATCGTCTACATATTTGAGTACGAAAACTAGGCGTTTCGTATTTCGGCAGAGCATAGTATAATATTTTGAGGAGTCAATTGAACAGCTATAAATACAGGGGCTGCAATTTGAGAGACGGCTAACGACGTCGGAGTTCGCGTACGTGGGAAACACGGCCAAGCTTCGCCGGTCTCTCCGGCAGGGATTATATAATATTCAATTTTAGCATGCGTGCGACCCGTCTTAATCCAGCCATTACGTCTAATTGGTCGAGATTAGCTAATATCCTTGTAGTGATTAGGCCGTGTCTGTGGCCACGGCTCGTTTAGATTGAAGCCAATTCCCCCGAGCGTGTGTGGCTGCGCCGCGTTGCGTTCCGTTGCCGACGTCGCCGTGCCGTCGACGAACCGAACGATCGATAAGCTGATCAAACATTATTAAACTAGAGAAACCTCCTCGACCGTCCGCTCTTTTCACGCGTGCTCACAGGGGATCGCGTGATTCGTTCAAACCGGATCGATGGTCTCTTGTAAAAAGAACTTCAGTTCTTTGATTCGAGAAGAAAAAGATTCTTCCATTAATAGATAAGATTCATTGACTCAGATTAAGGAAATTGATTATAGTCAAAACTGTCAGAGTTTTTAAAAAAAAACATCAAATTACAGGCGATTAATTAAGAATACATAATTCTATAATTTCCTTAGTTTAAATTATTTGTCTTTAAAAATAAATTGTCGATGCATAAGCGTCACAGGAAAGTGAGAGTATTTTGAAAAATACATCTGAATCTAGGAAACTCAACGCGGAACGCTATCAGTACTTGGCGAAAGCGTTGTATCAGGGAAAAACGCAATAAACTGCCAGAAATTGTGTACAATGGGATCCGTTCGAGGCATCGTAAACATGAACCTTACGAGGCTGCTATGAATTCATAGCCTCGTATTAGAGGACCTGGAGACCTATAATTTAATAACCAGCTGCTTCGTTTCCATATAATGCCACGCGGCTAGACGCCACGCTGGTAAACAGGCTACAGCGCTTCCTTTAGTAACTCCCTGGCAGAGGATTCCTTCAGGGATATTTGAAAAATTGTGTCGCGGAGGGTTTGCATTATTTTTCAGAAAAACGCGGAACCAAAGTATTATTCTAAATTAAGCTTATACTAATAGATGCATTATAATTATTATTATACATATTATAACAGTAGTACGATTTATCTATAAATAAATAAAGAAACAGATTACAATTATTGTAAAAAATATTTCAACAGAGATTTTACGATTTTAAGAAAGACGAGTCTATTGCTCGATAAGGGGAAAACTAAATACAGTTTACTGGGAAAAGATACCCTTTTCAAACATCCTATTCATTATCATGTAAATATTGATAATGATATTTCCTGATCCGTTAATTTTTCCCATAAAACATATCTTCACGTCATAATATAAATTCAGATAAATTTTGTTAAAAATTAATCTATTGATATAATTAGATGTTTCATAATATAATTAAAAAACTCTTACAGCAGATCGATCATCCATATTATTCGACAAGATTTTCGTGCTTTGAAACGCTTTTAATTTTCATTTCTATTTATGGAAATTTCCTAATCGATCCATTTTAGTTTGCACTATTGCCTAACTTCGTTCCCATGGGTACTATAAAAAAATGGAAACGTAGAATAAATAAAGAGAACTGTGTAATCGGTGGTGCGGCCTATCAATTACCCGTTATCGGGCTTATCAACGTTAACTCGGTGTTCCTCGCCTTCTGCATACCGGTCAGTCGAGCGCGTCGCGTCGCGTCATATCTTACACGACAGTTGAGGGAAGAAGGGTCCCTTCCCGTCCCGGCTTTGCCGGGTACTGTTACAAATCTGGCCCGCGAAAGGACGAGGATGTCGGCTGTCTTGTCGGTGCTACCAACCGGCCTGTGAAGAACCTATTCTCCCC